GCGTAGGGTCAGATAGGGGAGTACCATCATAAGAAGAATAATGAACATTGAGCTCTAAAGGTGTTTCAACTGTCTGATTATTTGTTAAGCGAACTCATTGAATAACATCTGAAGCATACTTGGATTGAAAGAGAAGATATCCTTTAGGAGAGGAAATAATCTCAATACCCAAGAAATATCTAAACTGTCCCAAATCTTTCATCTCAAAATGGTCCTGGCAACTGGGTTTTCAATAAACATATGCCAGCATTGTCATCACCTGTAATAATCATATCATTAATATATAATAAGAGAATAATAGAACTTGAGGAAGTAAACCATAAAAAGAGAGTAGAATCATGGTCACTGGCGCGAAAACCCAAGTCACAAATAATCGAAGAAAATTTGGCAAATCATATCCTAGGAGCCTGTTTAAGACCATATAAAGCTCGGTGAAGTCGACATACTTGACCAGGACTATGAGATAATCCAGGAGGAGGAGTCATAAAAACCTCTTTACTTAAATCTCCATGAAGAAATGTATTTTTTACATCCATCTGAGACAAATTTCACTGGCGAATGGCAGCAACTGCAATCACGGTGCGAACAATGGTCATCTTCGCAACAGGGGCAAAAGTTTCATCATAATCTATACCATACTCCTGAGCAAAACCTTGGCTACTAATTGAGCTTTATACCGTTCCACAGAACCATCAAACTTGATTTTTATCTTATAAACTCATCTACAACCAATAGGGCGTTTACCAGGTAGTAAAGGCACTAGTTCCCAAGCTCTGGTCTTATGTAAGGCAAACAATTCCTCATCCATAGCCTGTTTCTAAAGTGGATCAAGTAAAGCCTCCTTATAGGAGGTGGGTTCAGATAAGGAGTAAATAGAAGTAAGAAAATAACAAAAGTCAGGAGAATAATAAGTGTTACTTCAACCAAACCTATTTGGACATTTGCGAGAGAGCTGAGGATAGCGCGGAGTATGATCCACATTGTCTAAACCTAATTGGGTGGCAAGAGAAGAAAGGGAAGGCACCACATATGTAGAGGAGATAGTTGGATTCCTGCTAACATATGTGTGCACAATAGGGAGATGAGTGACGGGTACATCAGAAACAGTCATATCACCAACATAAGTGTTAGAGGGAACATCAGTCAGAAATAGGTCAATATAAATGAGATCAGATTTATGCAAATGTGAAGAATTGGATGGAATAGAAAAGAAGGGAATATGCTCCATGAAAATAACATGACGAGAGACATTAAAGTTTGTGTGAAACAGGATCATAGCAACGATATCCCTTTTGACCCTCACCATAACCAAGGAAAACACATAAAGCTGAACTAGCAGAGAGCTTAGTATGAAGAACACTAGGAAACAAAACAAAACAGGTGCATCCAAATACACGCAAAGAGAAATAATCAAGTGACTTACCACATAGTTTCTCAAATGGAGAAATTCTAGATGTGATGACAGTGGGAATATAATTAATCAGATGGACTACAGTAAGAATTGTTTCCCCCCCAAAAAGAACTTGGGACATTTGCTGACAGTAAGAGAGAGCGTGTTGTCTCCATAATATGTTGGTGTTTGCGCTTTGCTACACCATTCTGTTCAGGTGTGTCAATACAAGAAGATTGCCAAATATTTCAATCCTAATTATCATGGTATCAGAGCATGTTTTGATCCTAATGTAATGGTAGGACAATAACATTAATCCGAGGAAGAAATTTTAAGTAGTTAGGGTTGATGTCACCTGTTTGGATGCTAACATCATCTGCAAGTAGCCACCGAAGACACCCACTAGCTCGATTTCTCAAAACTTTGGATCAATCCCTTTGGTGGAAGTGTGGCGGTGCTTTTTGGGCTTCTTAATCCCGTTCTTGTGTGCCTTGTGTGACTGGTTGTGAGCCTTCTTAATCACTTGGATTTCTTTGAGTGTGATTTAGGGCTCTTGGGGTTTGGCACAAAGATTCGAATCTTTGTGGTCTCGGAGCAAGGCTCTTCTGTCTGGTACCCAATCCTATCCCAGGCAAACCAATTAGCCCATCGCCACCCCATTCAGCTGAAACTTGCAGTTTCTGCGAGTCATTCTCACTATCTTGTTTCTTCGAACTAAACCCTGGTGGCATCGAAAACAATGATATCCCACCAGCACCAGTATCATTCCTATTCACCTTCCTCCTATCTCCAATCGCTGAACTTCCTCCTTGCAACCTCTGTGCAAACCGCCAGTCCTCCTTCGACAACAAAGGTGGTGGCAACCTAGGGTTTAGATTCACATTCGAATAATAGTAAGATAAATAAGCAGGATCAGACCTAAGCTCCTCCTCAGACATAAACCCATTACCACTCTTAGTCCGAGCAAACTCCAAAAAGGCAGCACCATCACTGCTATCACCGCCGTCGCCACCATGATTAAACAACCCACCAACTGCATTCAATGAACCCTCAACAGTGGGTGGGGCTGACCCACTTCTATACAAGTTCAGCTCCTTTTCACGATCATCGGCTTCGTGTCGCCGCTGTTCACGAAGCAATACTCCTATCTCCTTCTCAAATTCCATCTCCAAACGAATGTTCATTATCTCCAAGCATTGGTCTCCTACCCAATTCAGACAACATCTTCACAAACCACGCCTATTCACTCATTCCACAACCCCTAAAAATCCCAAAAAAAAACTACAAAACCAAAACTTCATAGTCTATAAGCTGAACACTCAAGAACTCATATATAGAAAACTACAGCCTGAAAAATTCATAATCTAAACCCCTAAAAACCCAATCTTTGGCCATCAACCTTCAAACAAGAACATCTCTTTATACCAAACAAACCAAAAATATGATTGATCAACCATGAAAGAGCCATAAATATTCAACTATTTCATCATCAATTGAAGAACCATAAATTAGAGTTTGTCAACATTATTTCACATTGAAATTGCAGAAAGAAAAACCGCGACAAAAATAAGGTGTTGCGCGAGGACGTAAAAGAACAGTGAGCTG